ATTTATTATTTGCTGACTATTACCTAAGCTCCAGAGAAAGGAGAAGTTAAACACAGAAAGCTTTCCTGCTAACTGATCGTATTAGGAAATTGCTGTGAAAAACAAAACTGATCTTTGTTTCTTGAATGAAGTCCAGGAGTACAAAGGCTCTCAGTTAACTCCCGGCCATCAGCCTTTTTGCAGATTTGGTTGACCAACTGTTGGGTGCTGGCTGGGGAGTTGAACTGAAAGGACCGTTTAACCAGGTGACAGAGTGTCCAGCTGAATTTTACATAACTGACAGTGTCAGAAGGACAACTGAAAAATATCTTTTCTGGCATTTCTTCTGTGACACATAGTCTTTCATCTATAGGATTTAGTCTCTGATTTCTCTGTCGCTGTTGGAAATATTAGACAACAGCTGACAAGAGGCATCAGGAATACTCTGTGTGAAAATATTTCTGTGTTGTCCTGCTTGAATTTGCCTAAACAGGTATCCTAGAAAATTTTGTAAATGCTGAATCCACACATCACAAAAAGAACCCTTTTTCTTCATTATTTTTTGTGTTGTATTCCATTTTGAGCCTTCCCAGCACACCTGGGAGTTAGAATCTCCTACCTGAGCACTGTTTCATGACAGCTTCATGATGTCTTTTCCAGTTCTGTGAATTTATTATGCTTTGGGATGGAAAAGGGTATTATTAACATGCATTTCTTCTGTTGAAGTTGTATCTTGGGAAAAGTCAATTCCTAAAGCAGGTTGAACCTGGGTGAAAATTGAGAAGCAGGTTTCTGAAGAACACATGGGTACTGCAGGCACAGAGGCTGCTATTTCTGTGGGTGACCAGCTCTCTTACAAACTGCTAATGGAGTGGTTCCTTAACAGTGCTCTGTGGTGGGCATTTCCACTGGAAATATTTGTCAGGCTGTCTGTAGTGAAATCAAGATCTTGTTCTTTTTTCCTTTTTTTTTTTTTTTTTTTAAATGACAGGAAAATAAAGGAAAGAGGAGTGACAGCAACCCTCGTGTCCTGATCGATTCCAGTTGCAGATTTAATGGTGTTTTATCTTGCAGATTGCCCTTGCAGCTTCTCTAGAGTGTTTTCTGCTCTTGACTGTTTTATAGTGTTTCTGTGATGCAGTCTGAGTTCAGAGGTGGTTGCATTGCGGTGCTGAATGAATCAGTTCCTGTATATTTGCTGTATTAATTCAAGTAACAGAACACTCTACACTCTCCTGTAGTGACAAGTACTTAAGTAATGCATTTGTATTAGTGTTCTGGTTTTACTTATTTTCTGTGATTGTCCTCAACTGTGATCACACTGGGCCAATGTATTTTTCTTGATTAATTGAAAGTTTTCATCTGCATTTTACTCTCTCAGAAAAAAAGTGAAAGCTCTCAGGTATTCAGCAGAATTCACTGATTTCATGGAAAGTAAGGGAAAAAATCTGGCTGCAAACTGTCTCGTAAAGGCACTACAGATTTTCACGTTCCAAGTTCCTCATAAATCAGTGTTTGGAAATTGCAGTTATATATAAAATGGATTTTGCCTATTTTAATATCGATATACAGATTACACACCTTCCATAATGCATAGTTCATAGAGGAAAAAATTTCTAATGAGGGAAGCTCAGGTTTTGGCTCTGCCAGCAAAACAGGAGAGCAAAACCCATTCTAATAATGATAGAGGGGATAACAACCTGGGAGGTGGGATGATCAGAAAGAGGTTGTAAATTGGGTACCAAAAGAAGCAGAACATTGACAACTTTTGCTTCTTCATCATTTTATATCTGAATGTAGCAGAGTGAATGCTGTTGTTAGAATAAATAAAATAAACTGCAACTGAAGTACAAAGCGCTATCAATGACAAAATTCATATGATATGAAGATGACAAGTATTGTGCTCAATAGAGAGTTCCCATCACCCGTGTTTTTCTCCACAAATCAAGCAGAATTAATATGAGATTCTGTTATTGCCTGGTCTATTCTCTCATTTCAACTATCAGAGACAGAATAAAAGATAAAGGAAGTAAATGCAGAAGCCACAAATGTTTTGCAGAAGCGGTTAAGTGAGAAGTAGAGCAGAGAAGGTAACTTTGTACCACCCCCATCGGGCTGTGTCAGAAATGGTTACATTTGCTCCTTGCTGCAATGACAACATCAAACTGTCATCAATAAATGTTGATTCATTTTCACCTAATAACAGTAAGCAGCTCCCACTCAAAATCAATTTCAACTTTATTGACAAGGCACTGCACGCTTGTCTTCACCATGACTGCACTGCATAAAGGAACAATCGAATTGAAAATTCAATGAACGATAATTGAAATTAAAATATGCCTTTTTATAGGAAAATTAGCACTATGCTAAATTTCCAGGTATCAGTTATGTTGGTTTTTTTTTTCCTTAAAAAGGTAGAATGGGTCTTGCTAAAAAGTTAATTATATAAATATGTACACATTAATGTACATAATTAAAAATGTACCTTAATCTCAAAAGGGTACAAAGGGTCTTCAGTAACTTCCTAACATTTTAAATCTGGCAAATGCAGTACAGTTTCTGCAGTAATTATACTTCCAACACATTTGGATATGCTAATTGGATCTAAGTTTTAATTAGTTTCTTTATGTGACTAAGAATGACAATTGCCAAATTAATTTAATGCACTTTTGTTCTGAACTTAGTGACATTTTCAATATTTTTAGTACAGAAAAAGTAGACTATCAAATGCTTTGCTTTATAGGATGGCAGTGACTTGTCACATACAGTGTATAGTGCACACACTTCAAATGCATTCACTACAGTTGATGGCACTATTGCACGCTACACAAGTCAGCAATTAGGTAATGTAGCTCCAAGTGTTGACGGGCTTTGCCAGAGGAGTGGTGAGGGCCTGGAACGTGCCAGCAGTCCATCCACACTTCTGTGGACAGCTAGACACACAGTGGAGATGTAGAAGAAGCAGAGATGGCTACCATAATCTGCTGTTGTCTTTGTGATCAGATGGGAACATGAAGTGAGGACACCAAGCAGTGATCGTGCTTTTATTTAGAAATAGTTGTTGGAAAGATGAGTAATTGCAAGGGATTAGTATGATGCTTCATACCTTAGTTTCTCCTCATATCCTATTGCTACTTCCAATGATTTCTGCTGGAGTTGTGAATCCAGTAGATCCTTGATTTAGTTATTACTTGAGAGTAGAAGTATGCTCAGCATTACCCTTTCTCATTCCCTGACAATAGTATGACCTTAACTTCAGAGTGGGAAGAATTAGGACAGCTCTGAGCACTTCTGAAAATGGCAGGGAGAAATGACTATGTTGTTTTAAGGCCATCTGCTATTGGGAAACGTAGAAACATAGAATCATTTAGGTTGGAAAAGACATTTAAGATTATCAAGTCAGACCTAACCTCTATATCATCGCAGAAAGGTTTGGGGGTTTTCCTTTTTGAGGGATCCATTTCTTAAGGAGGCATCATCAAAGAATTTATGTGAATATATTGAAATTAAATAATCTAGAAGTTGTTCTAAAATAGCCTAGCGGGTGTAATGAAGAAAACAAGTATTTCAAGTGGTCAACTTAAATTGCTAAATGTGTGTACTCAGAGTTTGTTCCTTGTTTTCTGTCTCACTTTGAAAGATCTGTGAAACACATACACAAAGGCTTTCCCATGAAGGACCGAAAATAATGTATTCTGTAAATTTGTGTTCCATCACAATCAGCAAAGGTATTCCCCTTCTTTCACAGCCCCCTTCAGCTGGTTCAGGCACCCTGCTATTTCTGTGAGTCTGTTGTACAGTAATGTTTTGGATGTTTTACATTTGATATCTCTCACGGATTATAGGGTTGAATTCTCTGAGAGCCTAGTCTTAGTAGAGGCCACTGGGCCCAGCAGTGACCTACTGATGTTAACCTGGGTTTTGTCAGAGCAAGATCTTTTGTGCCTTTAAATAGGGACATGAGATCACCTGGGTTTAGAGGCTTAAGTTAGCTACCTGAGTCAGAAGATGAGCATCCCTCATAGGTTTCATGCATGGAGAAGGCAATTCAGAGCAAGAACTGGTACCTGCAGGTACCTACATCTATGACTACATAACGGTTTACATAGGTAATTAATATACATGCCATAATCCTCTGAAGTCAGTCAGACTTTGTTGGGTTTTGGATTTAACATTGATAATTGTACAGGCCAGATGAATGTGGTAATGAATTCCAAAACAGAAACCAGTAATGTTTGTATGTGGTGCGAAGGGGTGAGTGGTTGTTTGGTCTGTTTCTCTGTACCCAAGATAAGTATCTACCATCATGTAAAAATGTTGGCAAGTTATATTTTCAGCAAAGATAAATTACAGGTCACTATCTGCTAAATTCAGATTGAAAGGCAGTTAGTGCTAGAGACATCTGTGAGATAAGGCTTCTGTCCATAGAAGCCCAAGAAATATGACGCCAATGCAAGGCGTCCCGTAGCTGAATTCCTTTTTCTGCACCATCTGTTGCAGTCCTGTCTCAACACTGTGATGTGCCTATCCAATGGTCTTTTCTTCAGTCGTCTTTAAATGTGATTTTTAACCTGGCTAAAAATCACTGCTGTTTCATTGTCAATGAGTAGTATAAGCTTTAATTAAAACTAATGTAATTCCTTTCACCAGAGTTCTGCTAGGAAAGATGGGCTGGAGCAGACAACGTGCTAAAATTATGGTAGCTATTATTTCTCCAATTAGTGTATTACTGAAAGTAAGGTAGAAGTATTGTTACAGCCATACTCTGAAACAATAGATACACACCCAAACTCTGGATGCTCTCATCCGTTGCACACTGGTATTTAAAAGCACAAACTGATGTCCCTAATTGCTTCATTTACAATTAAAGATGAATCTGTGTGCAAGCCCTTCGCTGACTTTCCATCCCTTTGATTCCAGAAAGTGTTCTGCTTATTTTTTTCCTGCTTAAAGCCACCTAGGAGGAATGAGTGGCAAAGTTTTAGGGGCAATGAGGAAATTATTTCTGTTCTCTCTTTCAGCTCGGCTGCTGGAATCCCATCACTGGTCTGAATGGGTCACTAACAGACAGAAAGTTGGAGAACAACATGCGAGGAGTGGTTCTGCGTGTGGTAACTGTGCTGGTAAGCAGATCCTCATCTTTTTTTTATGTATTTTCTGCCTCTTGCCTCATCTTTTTATTAAGTAAACTATTTTAACAAGAATCGGTGTTCAAGTATCTGATTTCAGCTTGTCAATACCAGAGCAACAGAAAAATTTCCACAAAATAAAATTATTTATCAGTACAGTTCTTTTCGGAGTGAACACATTAAAACCTGTTTCTTCCACAGATACATACTACATTAGATAACACAACCACATGAACGGATAAAGGGCAACTTTAAGTGCCCTGTTAGCTAAAGTTACCCAGCTGAAACCCTAAATGATTCATAAGATGTAGCTGCCTTCCAATTACCTTGCCAAATTGAGTGCAGTGTGACACAAATTGCTGCACTCAGAAAATATTCAAGGTCAGCTTAGAGTGAGTAACATTATCTCAGTAAAACATCTGCTGTCCCCTCCTAGCTCTTCTTAAGCCAGGTTCTTCCCCCGTATGGACACCTTGCATTAAGCAGCTGCAGCAAAGTTGTTGGTTTAAAGTTGAACGGACACTGTCTGCCAGAATAGGAAGGTATTTTGTGATATGCAATCGGTGTATTCTCTGTCATTAACTTTGGCTGCATGAGCAGAAGTTCTTAGAGTTGAAAAAAAGAGAGAGAGAGAGAGAGAGAGGGAGAGAGAGAGAGAAATTAATATGAGATGACCTCTTTGGACCTATGCCTAAACACAAGGTTGACCCAGGGCTGCAGAACTGTAAAGGTTCTATTCAGCTACTTCCCTCTCTTTACTGTCTACTTGTGTTTTTCGTTACCAATTCAGTGTTTGAGGGCGTAACCACTTGCTTATAAAGAACACAGCAAGAGTGGTTTCCAGAGTTTGCGTTGCTGACATTGCATGATGAAGGAAAACGCTCAGTCAGGGGTGGAAAGTGAAATCACCAGACAGTGTCAGTGCCACAGACAGAACAGTTTTGTACCCCTCAATTATTTTATGGGTCTTTAAAAGCTATTATCTGTCAGGGTGTCCAGACTGTTCTAGCTCTTAGTACACTAGAAAACTTCCTGTGAATAATATCTATAAAACAAAACAAAAAAAACCCAACCAAATCAGAAGGATGAATGTAAAGAATAAGACAAAGGGTGGGGGGTTTTGTACTTTAATTGCATGTCCGTCAAAATAGCATCGTGGTGGCATTGGCTGATTTTCGTGTTTTGCCTGATGCTCATGTTAATTGATTCAGTATTATTTTCTATTGACAAAAATGATCTGTGGATGTTGTCCAGCAAAATAAATTCAAATTAGAGTCTTGGAATTTTTTTGTCATATTTCTTTTTCTTCCCTCTTTTCCTACTCTATTCCTCTGATTTCATCCCCAGTTATTTTAGTTAGCTTGCCAGAGAGCATTCTTCTTTCAAGGATGAATATTTAGCAACTTGCAAAAATACAAAAAAGTCATTAGTTATGCCCGTAGGATTCTATACTAATAACAGAAGGCAGACATTTAAGTTCAGCACACAGCACATGGCAGTTCAGTCTCCTCACTGCAGTCCTCATGCACTGCCTCATGTGAGCACACAAAAACCATTTGGTTTTATTGACAGTTTTAAAGCACAACTGGTGACAACTTCCATGCACAAGTAGTGTAAAATACGCTTAGTCTGAACTGTATTTTGTTAAAAACTGCTAATTTATCATTTTGCTAACTGACTCTCATTTTATGTAGAATGTGCATTGAAGGCAATTTATGGGGAGGTGTAAATGATTCATATTGGCTTCATAGCATAAAACTTCCTTTATTCTCTTAAAATCGTAGAGGCTTTGCATGGCTGGTCAGTGCAATGTAGGCAAAACTGACTGAACCACACTGCAAAAGGAGGTTCATTTTACTCAGCAAAGATGAGAGGCAAGGCTTTTTTAACTCATGAGCCAGAAACAATATTTTTCACTAGCAGTTCCCTTGACTGATGGTACTTTCCCCAAACTGCTAGAAATCAGGAAGATAAAACACGACTTCTCCCTCATCCACAAACTCTGACGGCTGAGAGAGAGAGAGGCAGGCAGACAGACAGACACTGACAGAAAATCAAGCTACTAAGCCGAAGCCTGAAAATAAGTTGGACAGTGCAGATGCCAGAATTGCAAAGTGCTATTTCTGACCTCTTCTAATCTTTGCGTATCCACAGATATTGCTGCCAGCCCTGTGGGTGACAGTGTATTATTTAGGGTGCCTACCCTCTAGCAGTTTCTCTTACTGCTCTTATTATGCATAAGTAAGGGTTATTCATGACGATATGCTGGCTTCTAAATAGCTGTCAGTCATTAGCATCGTTATTTCAAACATGTATGTTGCTATAGGATAAATTCATAGGACCTTGACTTACTGCTAACTATAGCTTGGTTCCCATCTTTATTCACATAGCTTATCACAATGGTGCAATTATGTTATTTTTACTGGAATAGAATGAACAAATAGACATAATATTTGAATTTGAGTGAAGTCTTAGCTGGGATGCCATAACACTTTTTTCTCGTTTTAAAATTAGGCTTTTAGTCCCTCTATTTGTTTTCATTCCATTTAGAAAAACTTGTTCTTAGAAAAACTTGGTCAACAAAGACACTGACTACAATTTTATTTTAAGCTTTACTCATTTTACAGCTATTAGGAAAGAAAATTTGCTGTTAAGGCCATCACTTTTGTGAAATAGAATAAAAATGTCAAGTTGCAGTTTAGAGAAATCAACAGAACTCCTTCAGGTAAATCAAGGCCATAGTCATATGTGGAAGTGCATTTGGTTTTATATCTGCTGGATAGGACAAAACTGGAGATTTATATTTAACCCGTGTGATGAAAATATGTGATTCTTGCCTTTGATGTGAGTGCAGGAGGGATTTCATCCATTGACTTTATTTTTCTTCATATCATACTTAGTCTTCCATCTTTCTCCAAGTTCTTCAATTAAGTCAATATACTTCTGTTAAAAGTAAAGAATCTATTTTTGACAATGGATGACTAGTTATTGTTATCATTGTGCCAGTTTCTAACAGAATATTCTTGATCTGGGGAAACAAGAAGGCTTATGTTAAAATCAAATAATAATACCTTTGAATATGAATAGGTTTCTTTTTCATTGAGATTTGAGAAGTTAACATTAATTTGTTAATTTGCTCTGCGAACACTTTGAATCTCTTCTGTCTTTCTAGACAGCAACCCTTCTCCTCTTCCAATTTCATTTTGTTATGCCTTCAGGTTGGAAAGGACTCATTCTAAAAATTGCAGTAGAATTTGAGAGGATAGCAAATTGCAACACCTGGGTTATACTGCATTATACTTATTATGAAATGAAACATTCTGCAGTCTGAAAATGATAAATGATTGCAACTAATTTCCCCAAAGCGGTCCTTCCAAAAGCAAGTGTTGAACAATACCCATCATCTGCATCCATCTACTAATGCCTCTCCCTAGATAAATTTAATAATTATGGGCTATGTATTTGCAGATCCAAAACAAAATCTCTTTTTGAATATGACAGAATACAGTATGTCCCCAAACTGGAAATCTCTGGTTTCATTTGGCAGTGAATCCTGGCTCCTCTGAAGTTAATGGGAATTCTCTCCCTTCTGCAAATAAGTATAAGAAATAATTCTTTATGGTTTATTCTGAGGGGAACTACAGTCATGCCTTGTACATGTGATTTAACATTTTAATCTGACTTGGATTAATATCACACTTCCTACACTTCTAGAAAAGGTTTAATTTGTCTTGCTTAAATATTAAATGTCTTTGTCTTGGACTGCTTCCCCACATGCAGCTGAAGTTTGAAATTTGTGTTTGACAAGTTACTTTTAAGTTCAAGTGACTTGCTGGTAAATTTCTGAAATGTATTCTGAACTCCAAACAAATTCAGATTGTCTTGAATGAACAATTGTCCTAGAACAAATTTAGCTAGATACACATTTTGGCTATTTCAGTTTATCGACTTCTTTTTCAGCTGCTCAGTCTTATTGAAAGGGAGCTAGAATACAGCAGATAGTCTCATAATATCATTTTAGTAGTAGTGGCAATTAATGAATTATTCATATGAATGTTAAGCCATCAAAAATGGAATGAGATTTGGCTTGTTTGACAATGAATAGGCCAGCAGGTATTCGGAAAATCACGTTTCTAAATAAGCCCCTGTTGTTTGAAAAAAGGAAAAAGTTTGAAATCTCTGTTTTAAAGAATTAACACCAGATTGTACAGAGCCTTTTCTGAAAGTGCATAAGCTATAACTTCCTAATGGTGTAAAATGTATTTATGACTTTACATGAAAATTCAATACAATTCCCAAACAGGAGGCATGTATTTTCATATCTGGATGCTTCCGAAAATGCAGGCAGGATGAAGGAAAGAAAAATTAACAGCAAGCGATACTGAATTGTGCTTTGTCATACATACCTGTGCACTATTTCTTGAGGGTTATTACCTAGTTTACTTGCACAGAGCTAAATGGACTAGAGACAGTTTGGTGACCCTTGGCTCCAGGTGGGCACTGTGTGACATGGTGTAGTGAGAGGGCTGGCAGAAGGCTAGACAAGCATAGGAAAAAAAAAAAAAAAAGCATCATTTACACCAGGGAAAATATTATTGTATGTGAACTAGTTTAATTCTCAATGGTTAGCATGAAATGCATGAGCTTTTGTTGCCTAGATTAGCAAAGAAACAAACTTGAAAGCCGACAGTATCTTTAGGGACATGAGCTGGCGGGAGGTCTGCATCTTCAATCCCTTTTCCTATTGAACTTACCACTCAGAGAAAAGATAAAAAGTAAGATATGAAGCTAAGTCCTGGTTTTAAAAGCTGACACTGTCTTTGGGATTTGACTTCCAATGCTGGTTTTAACAAAGTAAAAAAAGTCCTTTCCAAGAAGCTGGAGTAGCTTTCAGAGTGATAGGAAAAAGGAAAGGCATAAGAGAGATGAAATAAGACAGTGTTTAAGCATATGCACAGGAACAAATGGTCACAAGTGCTAAAGGATGAAAAAAA